CCTCAAATTGATCATATCGACATCATGATGCATAAACATGAGAAAAAAATGGATTTCAAGTTTTGGAAATAGTGCATTTTGTAATGCATTTTTTAACCTCAATTTTCAAGATTTTCAAGTTTTCATGGATCTACTCGACCTACACTATTTTCTAAGCCTGAAATTTTATAATAGAGAATAAAATATATATGAAGGCTATCACAAAGATTTTTGGTATTGAAGTCACATTTCTCACCACTATTAGAAGGTATGCTTTACTTTAATTGTTTAGAGCCTTGGCTCTATACAAACTCCACCCAAAATTAAAACATATGTATGGTTCCAAAAAGTGGGATTTAAGTGTAAAATATGAAATATCCGGGACTATTTCAATTTTTAAAATAAAGTTTGAATTTTTATAAATTTTTGTAAATTTAATTTATAATTTAATGCTCACTTAGTCTATTAATTAAATTTAAAAAATTGACATTTTATAATTATGTATATCTTCTAAATTAATGAAAAATTACATGCTAATATTTTAACTGAAAATATATTTATAAAAAATTCAAATTTATGTATGGTCACAAAAAGGCAGTAAGACCACCACAGGAAAAAAATCCAATAACTATGGCCTCGAGAAATGAGTTTTTGTATTAAATTGTTATATTTATAATTATATTTTGTTATCTTACATTATCTCTATTACATTATTAAGCCATTGTTAAGGGATGAACACATATCGGAAGAAAAAAATGGACCCACTCTTTAGAGAGAATGTAGGAATAGGACCTTGAAATAGAAGGACATTAGAGTATGTCATATTTCTATGAAAAATTATTTCATGCGGGCTGGACCGCATTTCTATATATGTAATCCAGAAAGTGTAAAGCATCTATCTTAAAGATGGATGCAAGTAGGTGTTCTATCTAAAAACAATAGAAACTAACGGTCCAAATATTTTATTATTAGAATTATTATTTACAGTTTTCAAAATTTATATATTTTTTCATATGCATGATCTCCATTTTAGAGATTACATGTCCTTAAAAATTAAGTCTAAAAAAAGATTTATTAAGAAGCCCACATTTCTACATATGCGGGCATGGCTGCATAAAAATCGGGTATTGTTTCTATTATTTGAAAATAACTAGATTATTAAGTCATAATTAAAAGTGGACACAAGTTGCAAGAATAAAAATGGACCCTATCTCAAAAGAGACCTTGAAATGGAGGGATGTTAGGGTATGTCATATTTCTATTATATGAAAAGAAAATTTATGAGATAAAGACCCTCTTGCAAAAGATAATGTTAGGTAGAGTCATAGGTATACTTTATTAATATGATGTAGATAATAATGATAAAGATGGAGATCAAGAGTAATATTCTTTATAAATATGATGTAGATAAATTTTAGCATGATATACTTTTCTAATATGAGAAAGAGAGAACAGATAAGAGAGAGTGATGGATGTGCGACCTTCTTTTAGAAAAGGTTAGAATTTGGGCCTTCTATGTGCATGAAGATGGGTTTCGTAGGGAGGCCGCCATAAATAATGTCGTTCTCTTATTTATTTTCATTTTTTAGTAACGAAGTTCTTTATTGTTTGTATTAATTATTACTGTTTATTTTATTGTATTACAGCTTATTGGTGTTATGGGTTATTTATGAGTTTATTTGAAATCTAAAGGACGAGCGAAGTATAAAGCATCCATATTAAATATGGGTGCAAATAGGTGGTCCATCTACAAACAATTGAAACTAATGGTCCAAATATTTTCTTCATAAAATCATTATTTTTATTTTGAAATTTTTACTTTTTTTTATATTCATGATCTCCCCATTAGAGATTACAAATCCATAAAAGTTGGATCCAAAAATCCATCTCAAAAATTAATTTTTAATATTCGACTTATTTCTACATGGACTCATAGAAACCGTGTACTTCTGTTATTCTTGTGTATTATAATTGGTTATATTATTAAGTGTAACGCTATATTGTACTCAATATAACCAAAGTAATTGTATATTATAATTGGTTATATTATTAAGTGTAACGCTATACTGTACTCAATATAACGAAAGTAACGATGAACATGGCCTTATGAAATCCTTGGGTATTTCCACTGCGATCCTTGCAAGCAAACTACTTTGTTGCTCCCTCAAACAAAACCAATTTAGGACGAACATAAGAAGAAATGGACAAATTTTTTGACCTACTTTTTAAGGACATGAAATCCCTAACAGGGAGATTATGAATGAATAAATAAATTTTGAAAATTAAAAATAATATTTTATTACAAAAACATTTGGACGGTTAGTTTCAAATATTTTTAAATGGACTACCTATTTGCACCCATCTTTTAAATAAATGCTTTATACCTCAGGGACAACAAATGTAAAAATTCTGAAACAAATTTCTTGCCCAAAATAAACTTGAGTATCCAAGTTAATAATAAAAAAAAGAATTTGGCCATATATTAAAAGATGCAGTTAGCATGCAACCAAGCCTGCACATGTAGAAATGCGGGCTTGGCAATAAATATATTTTTGAAATATAATTGGATCTTAACTTTAGAGAATTTCTAATCTTTAACATGGAGATCATGAATATAAAAAATTAAATAAATTTTGAACACTAGAGATAATAATTATATCAAGAGAACATTGGGGTCGTTAGTTACAATTGTTTTGAGATAAACCATCCATTTGCTAATAATTATATGAGTAATAATCTTATGAGACCCTACTTCACCCATGTGTGTTGGACCCCAAATAATCACCATTAAATTTGACACATATCTCTAGAAAAGTCTAAAAAAATCAAGACCCACACCCATGTGACAACTTTTTTAGAGATATGTGCCAAATTTAATGGCGATCTTTTGAAGTCCTACACACATGGGTGTAGGAGGGTCTCATAAGATCATTACTCTAATTATATTAAGAAAACCTTTGGGCCGTTAGTTATAATTGTTTTCATATTAAATATTTAGACAAAAACCCAGCAGGGCCATGAATGAAAGGGTTCCCCGGAAAGAACTTCTCACTGAAACTGAAACACCCATATAAGGACCATGTAAGAACATTAAATCCAAAATTTTATGTCGAAATTAATGAAAAAATCGATTTAATTTTTGGATGAGGTTACTATAAAGGTTGAGGCTTTATGAAAACAAAATAAAGTCTCACCTTAACCCCTTGTCCAAAAGTACTTTTGGCAAAAGAAGTTTTCATGATGCCTCTAAAATCAATTTCCAATACGAACAATAAAATTTAATACTAAAACAATGGTACTGATCTTGTGGATATGTGAACACTTATTTTTAGAATGAAATGAGCGGGCTAAATAATTTATAACAATATAAACTGTTTTTAGAGCTTGAAATCCTATTTTTATTCACAACTATTATGTTCAAGACGATGATCGATGTAAAAGTTTTCCAATGCTTGAATTGTAATTTGGATATGTTACAAGGTAAAACTTTACTTACTTTGATAGAGCCACACTTTGAGTATTCAATAGGTATTATTTATGGGTGCACTTGGCAAACGGACGCATCCATAGCT